GGCCCTTAAGAGGAGCTGCTGGGGCTCCCGCAGCCTCCGCGTCCCTCAGGGACAGTCCCCGCTGGTTTCACAGCCCGGAGTTGTGGGGACGTCTCTTCCAGCCCTGGAGCCCTGGGCTGGGGGCCTGCTGTGGGACTGGGACCCCTCACTCCTCCGGGAAACCCCCTCTGCTGAGATTCCCTCCCGGGTTTCAACCTCGGCACTGGGTGTGGGCCCGCGGCCCCGTCTCCGTGATTCAGCCCCGATCCGCCCGCGTCTCCGCCCCCCTCCCGGTCTCAGTGCTTCTTCAGCTCCCTGGTTGTGGGGCTTCTGTTCAGCTGGATCTCAGGAGGCTCTGAGGGATGGTGGTTCTGTATTTTAGTTGTAATTGTGATGTGGTTGCGGGAGGCGGCGGGTACAGCTGTTACCTACGCCGCCGTCTTGTTTCCTCCCTCCTTTCCATCTTTTGAAAATATTACTTTTGTATTTTTTTTATGATTCAGAATTATTTTATTGTTAAATTTTTTAAAAGTAGGTTTAAACTTTATTGTTGGAAGTATTACAGATGTCCCCTTTTTTGCCCCCTTGGCTCCCTCCACCCTGCTCCGGCCCCTTCCCCAGGCCTTCACCACACTATTGTTTGCCCATGGGCTATGCATATGTGCATCTAAGTTCTTTGATTAATTTCTTCCCTCCCTTCCTTCTGAAATACATCAGTCTGTTGCATGTTTCCATTTCTCTGGATCTGTTTTGTTCATCAGTTTATTTTTTTCATTAGACTTTTGAATTTATTCTCGCCAAAAATGTTGACTTCTCAACACACCCTCAGCCACTTCCTAGCCCTGAGCCAGTTTGTAGACCTAGATCCTCTTGAAGGAAAGGGAGGCCAGATCCCCTTAAGAAAGGACTCTGTTACACAGCCAAAATATGTAATGGTTTCAGCTTCATTTCAGTTACCTGCCAGAGATCCTAAACTCCAAGACTCTGACAGTTCTTTGGCAAAGACTTTGGAGACAGTGGTCTGGTCATCCCTAAAGTATTCCCTGTGGACAGTCTTCAGTGTTGCGGGCCACCAGCCACTCAGGTGGCTGTGCGGCTGTGACACCGCTGAGGCTGGCACCTGGAGCCACTCTCTGCTTGCCACACCAAGGTTTGTGGGTTATGCACAGTACATTTATCATCTCCTTCCTGTCAGTTCTCTTGAGATCACTACTGATGTTACCCAATTCAATGATACAAAAAAAGGGGGACTAGTAACTAAGGTATTAGAATATATTCTCTCCTTTTTCCATGGTAATGGAGTCAAAATTGAGTCACGTAACTGCCTCATTAGGAACATTTACTATGTTCCCTTTACAGTTAGACTGAGGTGTGACCAAGTTAGACTTAAGTTCTTTCGTATGGAATTTGAGTGGAAGTACTGCTACTTCTGGTCTGGGACCCTTAGGACAATGGATATGCCTCCTCTATGCTCTCTTTTATCCCTTCCCCAAAATGGTAGCAATAGCAACCAAGCCTTGATTGGAGAGTATAAGATGGGAGGATCCTATGTGTGACCGCATGGTGTATTGAACTGTTGCATGAAAGATCAATGTCTTTATTGTTTAGGCTACATGATTGGTTTCTTGTTGGCAGCTCACTTTTACTCAAATTCATATAAATGATAGGGTTAGCTTCACTGGGGTTGCCCTTGGATGGCTGCGCCAGTCCCACGTTTCCATTGTAATAACTGATCTTGCAGTAATGGGGACTGAGTATATAAAAGGCTTTGCCAGCCCACTGAGTGGCTTTCAAGTTGTATTTGAAATGTCACTTGATGAGAGATATCATTAAAGCCTCATGAACATCTGCATAGCAGTAGCGACAGCTTGATTCTATAGCATGCTGTTTTTGAGCTCCGCTCCCACAGATTAATGGTTTTCTCATGATAGAACATTATCACTAAAATTGTATAAGGTTTTAAACTGTCTTTCTGATTTATGTGTGTGTGTATATGTGAAACGGTAGAGGTTTTTTGAAATATAAACACTCAAGAACATGCAAAATAAGCGCAGCATATACAGATACTTGCTGCAGGAGAATGTCTGAGGTATCCCTCCACTGCCTAGGTTACCCATGTGCTATCATGTTTCCTGGTTATGACACATACAAGGTGGGGAGGAGGGGGCAGAGCTGCCCTGGCCAACTGGCCATGTGACTGTCAGGACTGCA